TCAACATTCTGTATTTTGAATCAGGATTCTCCGGCTGCAATAAGCAACATGATTTGAATGTATCCCTACAACTATTTCATTTTTCAGATATTTTTGAGTCAGTCATGTAATAATTGTTGGGCTTTTTTTTGCTCCTGTACAATAGGTATTATCTTGGACCCATGTGAATATATCTGTGTTTAGGTATGTTTAGGCATGGAAATATTGAAGTGCAAAGAAACACAAGCAATGTGCAGAGTAGAGGTAGCAGTGTAGCCTCAGCATCAGGATCACATAGGATGAATGTGTGGCAGACACTAGCCAGGTTAAAGACTTGTTTTGGAGGAAGAATTGAAAATAATGTTTGGCAGAGTCATCTCAACAGAAAATAGTGGCAACATACAAAATAAAACCCATTTTCTCCTGGATTTAACTTCAGGCTGTGTGAAAGTACAGAGAAAACAATGGTTTTTGATGTAAATAATATATTTACAATTTATGAAAACTGTGTTTTAATTTTAAGTCATTAAACAGATATATAAGCCTAGGATATGAGAATTTCCATAAATGTAATTGGTGGGTAAGTCATGAAACTAACTCATACATATGACCAAAGAATATAAATAAAAAGACAAAGAATTCATGGAAGTGAGTTCTACATCAAGCACAGGATTACAGCTGGTTAGTTTTTGTCAATGTTACACAAATTTTGATATACCTAGAAGAAGGGTCTCAATTAAGTACTTGCTTCCAACAGATTTGCATGTTGGCTTCCTAATAGGGACTTTCATGCTGATGATTGATGTGGGAACAGCCAGGCCACTCTGGATAGTTGTGGGTGAGTGAGCCTCAGCTGTAGAAGGATAATTTAGTAAGTCCCAGAAAGTCATGGGAATCAAGACAGTGAGCAGCATTCTTCCATTGTCTCTGTTTCATTTCTTGCCTCCAGGTTTCTACTACCACCTCTCCCTATGATGGACTTTATCCTGTGGTTCAAATATCTCTTGTCTGTCTAAGCTAGCTTTGGTCAGTCTTGGATAACAGTAACAAAATGCAAACTAGGACAATGAACAGTTTACTCAACTCAGAAATGGACCTGTTTTGAGAATTAATCCACTTGTAACTTTTATCTTGAAATTCTGAATAATTTTTGCTGTGAATTTGTGTTTCACAGTGAAGCCATGGAGATAGGAAGCATCCATAGAGACTCAATATGATTTTATTCTTGTGATAGCCCTTTTCTTAGGATAAATATCTTTACCTTTCTGTAATGTTAAATGGCACTGCCTATCCTGCAGTTCCACCCCCATCTAGTCTCCACTCTTTGTGGGCTACTGGCAGGAACACCAAGAGCCACCTACCATTGTCATTCTTGTTGAGGAGAGTTTGGAAAGAATGAAGCCCTCTGAGCTTGGTACAAGTTGGAGCAGATTGTTTCAGGGCTTACAGAATGATAGCTAAATGGGCAGAAGATTAATAGCATAAGTTAATTTTTACCAACATCATTCCATGAACTTAATGTGTGTCCTTAAAATTGTTTGGCTGAAGCTAGAACCCCTAACATAACTAACTCCATTTTCAGATAGACATTCAAAGAGGTAATTAAAATTAAAAGCAAGAAGAAATTAGACTACAATTTTAGGCACTTATCTTTATTGTGGGAGGCATTTACTAGCATAATTTGTGTTCACAAAGTTCCCAACTATACCGTGAGCTATCAACAACTGTAATTCATAAAATGGAGCCATGTTGTTTTTTGTTGTTGTTGTTTTGTTTTGTTTTTCGAGACAGGGTTCCTCTGTGTAGCTTTGGAGCCTATCCTGGCACTTGCTCTGGAGAACAGGCTGGCCTCGAACTCACAGAGATCCACCTGCTTCTGATGGGATCTCTGCTGGGATTAAAGACATGTGCCACCAACACCCGACTGGAGCCATGTTTTTTGTGACCTTTTGTGGCTTGTCAGTACAGACTCTGCCTCCCTGAAATATTCCAAAGTAAGCCCCTATGCCAATCTTCCTTCTTTTCTTCTTCCTTTCTCCCCTCTAAGTATAATAATGAACCTTTTAAAATAATTAATTTAATTTTATTTTATGTGCATTGGTATGATGGTGTCAGATTCCCCCAGAACTGAAGCTACAGACAATTATGAGCTGCCATGTGGGTTTAGGAAATTGAACCTGGGCTCTCTGGAAGAGCGGACAGTGTGTTAACCACTAAGCTATCTCTGCAGCCCACAATAATTCATCTTATAAGGGTTCTCCTGCTCAAATAAGCAAGTTTTATCTCACAGTGCTGTGTCTTGTTTGCCAAAATCATATACCAACTAGACGAGGAACTGGAATTTTGTTGCTCATTTTAACATAAAAATGCTTAAAAGCATTGGCTGTTGAACTCTTCTGCATGAGTTACAAATGCATAGAGAGGAAAGGGAGCAATGGTTCAGAAAATAAAGAACTTGCAATGCAAGCATAAGAACTAGAGATTAGATAGCCAGCACCCTCTTAAATCCTGAGTGAGAGTGGTGTCTCCCTGTTAGTATAGTTTGCTAGTTTGCTTGCAAAATGGAAATGGAAAATTGCCAGAGATTTTTTCACTAGCCAAACTAGCCAAGTGAATGAGTGCTTTTCCATAGGGAGACCATGTCTTAATGTATACTATAGTGAATGACTGAAGAAAGACACTCAACTTCAATATCTGGCCTCCACAGGCATATACAAACATGTATATGTGCATGCACACCTGCACACACACACATACATCAACTTCAATATCTGGCCTCCACAGGCATATACAAACATGTATATGTGCACGCACACCTGCACACACACACATACACACACACACACACACACACACACACACACACACACACACACACTAGCATACTTGTGTGCATGCCACATATGTATAGGCACACACAAATATAAGTAAATGAATGAATAACTACTCAAAGCATAATAAATATAGAGCTGAAAAACCTAGTTTGTGATGAAAGCATTGTCTTTTTGTGTTAAAACTGTCACATAACTTCTCTGATCCTCATTTTACTTCTTGATATAGAAAGTATTGCTACATGACAAATGAAATAGCAACATGGCTCCTTAAAATTTCTCCTGTAAAAGTGTGAAGAATTATGATTCTTTTAAAATAACTGTCTACCTGAGAGTAACAGGAATTAGGAAACTGATAGGCTTTGAAAGTTCCTTATGAGTAAGACTATTTTGTATATCAAACCAGACATTAAAAATGGATATTATGACAAAAACAAAAATCCATGAAGTGGAATGATCACCAGTATTTTTTATTACTGACTATTTTTTATAAATGTTTCTGTTAGGTGTTTACTATTGCACATGTGATGGAAATTTGACTTCACACAAACAAGTAACTGCTTTTACTATCATAACACAAGGCTAGTACCTCAAATGGTAATTAACATATAGTAGAGGTTTCACAACTCAACTGTATCTCAAATATTTATATAAACTACTCATTCTGATCACAATTTGATGCATAAGACTCAAGAAACTGGCACAGCAAGGCTAAGCACAGCTGTTTGACAAAGATCCAGGGAAGCTGAGCCATATGATGGCTGCCGTGCCACCTTTCCTTTGATCTCCACTTGTTGCATGTTTGGGTGAAGTTTAATGTTTGTACAATTTGGCAATCTTGCATTGATGGGAATTTTCTTATGAATCATTTCTGCCTTCTCCCAAGAAAACTACTTCTGCACTGCCCCAGGAAAGTCTCGAACATAGTACCTCTCCTGCTCTTAGGGAGATATCCTTATCTACTTGAATATCTTTCTTATGCCTTAGAGGTTATGACATGCATATAGAAGCCAGAGGTCTCTTTATGATGCAGTGAGATATTCTTGAAACATCTGTCCCTGTACTTACTCAAGAACAAGACATTCAAAACAAAGTAAACTCAAAAGGTCAATAAGATTCAGTGGACTAGATGAGCTGGCTACAGATCAGATTTCAAGACTCTTGCCACTATGCACTCAGGCAATTATGTGGCATATACAGCAACATAAGTGGATTAGCTGAAGTTACCTCTGCCCTACACAGAAACTTCTATTGATAAGTAAAACATAATGTAAAAAGATGACAAAAGAATGGTGTCAGGACCTCCTATTCTTAGAAAAGTTAGCACATGCAGAACCACTATTAGTCATATGATCAAGGAAGAGCAGAACTCCAGGATTAGACATATAGACAAAGTCTATAAAAGATAAATATTGTATTATGCCAGAATTTGAACAATAGCTATAGCAGCTTAGACTTGAGGATTTTTTGTGGAAACTCTGACCATTAAGAATTAATAATACACTGCTTGGGACATGGCAATATGCCAGACTGGCTTAAAGATTTTGTTTTGGTTTAGTGTCCTTGAGGCCACAAAAGCAACTAGCCTGAGAATAGCTTATCATATTCCAGGGATAATCATTGAAAATGATAACTCTGTTTATCAATCATGTCAAAACTTAAGGGAAAGTGACTGGAAATGATAACTCGGTTCTGTCATAGTTTATTAATGATGACCAAAAGATGAGCAAGAGGAAGTGTAACATGTACCAGAAACCAAAAATGATATGATCTATGTTTTGGAACAATATGAGTGTATCCCTACTTACTAAATTCTGTATAAAGAAAGAAGCATTCTGGCTGCTTAGTCAGTCAGGATGCAAGAGTCTTCAACTATCATGACCTGGCTCATCTCCTTCCCTTGCCAACTCCTTACTCCCTCCGCTTGAACTTGTCTACAACCAGGGATGGCCCTGGCAGAAAAACAAATTCATTATCTTCCATGCTACATGTAGTTACTGCTATATGTAGGACTAGAACACCACCCTGGGTTTAACATTCCATCATTTGTCCTGTAAACTGCACTGAATCCTTTGACATTTTCATCTCATTGTCAGGAAACTGAGTGAAGGTAGTGTTGAGTATTTCAACATTCATTCCTTCTCCACTTGACTCAGAGGGAAGTCATTTAACACAAAGTGTTCTTCACAGATCATCTGCAGCAGATCAGAAGACTACAATAGCCGTCAGACTTTATGCGATGGGACACCTGAGGGACCACTGATACGCAATCCTGGAAACCATGACAAAACCAAAACCCCGAGGCTCCCATCTTCAGCAGATGTGGAATTCTGTCTGAATTTACCCCAATATGAATCTGGCTCCATGGATAGAACTGCCAATTTCAGCTTTAGAAACACATTGGAAGGTAATATCCTTGTTTTCTCTAATTTTGTTTTTTCTCCTTGTTTATAATCTCTTCTTAAAGATTTTAGGCTTACATATATTTTGCATTGATAGTTTTGTGAGTTGTGTAACACTATGCTTTGCATATACACGTATTGATAGTAAACCTTGCCAGCTCAGAACATCACATCATATTCCATCAGTTTGATGATACAAAAGCAATTTATGTATTCTACCCACCATGGAAAAAAGTGGGGACAACAGGCAGTTTTCCACAAAAGAAACAGCTCTTGTCTCAAATTAACAAAAGAGAGACATTCTCTGAAGCAAAAAGTAAGTTATTATGACCCAGAACATTGCATCAGCTTCCTCCAATACTGTTTTCTAACACGTTACAAGTTCTATGAAGCTTTACAGTAATAGAACAAAGAAAACCATGGGTCAAGGAATTTTGCAAATACATCAGATCAAAGATCAGATAGGTGACTTACAGAAGAGCAGAGAAAACTAAGCCATAGATACCAGATGTCATCTGACCCTATTGTACTTTTCATTGGTCATAAGCGGGAGTCTGTATATTACAAACTATTTTCCCAATGAACACAAAGATGTCAGGTTATATACAATGAAAACTATAAATGGTTATTAGTGGGCTAAAGACAGGCCAAGATAGTTTGATTCTGAACTTGCAACATTCTGACCTGTTCTGTCAACCAGATTTTGTAGTCCCATAATCTTTCCAGAAATTCTCAGTACAGAGCCAGTAGTGAATGGAGCAAAGGTGTTTCAACAAAGGCATGTTAGTACAAAGTAAAATCATTCCATCATTGAAGCTGTTTGCACTGTGAAATTATAGATACAGCACTATGGAAAGACAGTTTTTCTCATGATTTCAATGGGCTTCTTTCTCTTTGATTTAAAATACCTAGATACTAGGTTATTTAAGGCCATTGTGTCTCGATAAATGCAATACAAATACAGTCCATATCAATTCAAGTCTGTGTCCTTATAGCCCATCATCTGTACTTCACTAGAGGTGGTTTCTCATATCCTTTTCTACTCTGTAATTCAGCATATCTCTCCATCTACTCACATCTTCCTTTCAATACCCATTCATTCTTGTCTGATAGATCCTTTTGTATGTCCATTACATTCACTTTAGTTAGCATTGGGGAAACAAACTTATCAACAAACAAAAATTAAAGAATTCAAGTCACAGATTCCACACATGAGCAAATATAGGGGCTAGTCTCTGGCAAAGCTCACAGAAATTACCACTGGATGCTGCCTTCCAAAAGTCCTTTGCAATCTACCATGCAGACAGTCTTCATCTCCTCCATAGACAGAATTTTATTAAACTTTTTCCTTGTCTTCAGTGTGTTGCATGCACCCTAACTTCTTTTTTTCTACTATATGGAATGTGTTTACTGTTTGTTTTGAAAAGTCAGCAAAATAACAAGACTGATAATGACAAGAGAAAGCAGGACCTGCTGGCAGTGCAGACCTTTACTTGGAGAAAAACCTACTACAGAGGGGGCTCTCTTCCAAATCAAAGCCCACAGTCCATTGGCAAGTCATAATAGTTATATGACAGAAGAGAATAATGAGGTTAAAATGTTTACTTTTTGGCCCAAATTTTGGCATTTCTAGGTATAACCACTCAGTAGTCAATGAAAGAATGTTAAGTGATTGACAAACTTCGTGATGGTCATTCCCTGTTTCTATGGTGTAGAACAGATAATAAGTGAGAAGAACAAACTTACTTCAGCTATTTATCTAGGAAAATTGTCACAGTTCAATCATTATGAAGGAGCTTTATAAAATGGTGCGGCCCTTGCTAACACTTCCTCTTTTCTTCTTTCATTCCAAGCCATAATCCTAAAACCATATACCCATAAGTAATATAGGAAAGGAAAGCCACATCGTGAAGATAAACTTTTGTGACTGCTGTTATGATAAAAATTATGCTTGTAATGTTTATTCTCTTACAACAATAAAATGATACTCTAAAAAACAATGATTGCAGTGTGCAGAGCATCCTGCCAACCACTTCATATGATGCTGTTTCATACTTTGTGAATGTCTTCTGTGAATTATACCATTATGCTCAGCTGTAAGAGGAATGACAGGTTCAGCAAAGTTAAATAATGAGGCTATCCTTGGTCACCAAGTGAGTGGCAGCCTCAAACCTGAATCTAGTTTGTTTAAAGATAATGTTAGGAATGCAAAAACATTGCATTCTGATGACACATATGGTTCATGAGTTGCCTGATAGTATACAATATTGTATGTACCACAATATGTGGTACATACAATATTGTATACTATGGTACATACAATATTGTATACAGAGACAGTGGTATGGAGAGAACTTTGGGAAGTTCCAGGTTCTTGAATCCCTAGACAGGAAATGGAGAAATACATAGTTGGGGCAGAAGGCCCCCCCTTTTTTTTTTAGAATAAAAAGACTTCCTCTATCAGAAGTGGTCCCAAGCAGAAGAAAGGCTGGGAAGTGCGACAACAATGTTAGACAATGTACTACAATTCAGGAGCTTTCTGGCCTACTTGCATAGCTTTGGCTTTTTTGCAACATGCTTTATTTTTACGCATTGGCCTTGGGCCTTAAAGGTGCCCAGCCTTGCCCTTGGTCAATAGCCATTTCTTCTATACTAATTTTGCAATCTTTGGAAAAGGGACTTTCAGACCTCACTGTCTGCCCTAATCCTTTGTTTTAGATACAAACAATGGAAATATAAGCAGTTATAAAGAAAACCAAAATCATGCCATTTACAGGGAAATTGATGACATTGGAAATAATTAAGTGAAATAAGTCAGACTCATATGACAATGATATCATTTTCCCTCTTTTGCAAAGCATAAATTTAAAACCATATATTTGTGTTCTTTTACAAATGTGTATATTTATAGTTGTAGATATGTAGGTAATGAAGCTAGAAAGAGGATCATATTAGAAAGGAAGAGATATTAAGGGGAATGATAAATAGAATAAACGGAGCATCTGCAAATTGACAGATGCTAGGGTTAACAAGAAGAAACAGAGGAAGCAGCTGTAAAGGGGGCAGTGAAGGGGCAGAAGACCAAAATATTTACAATACGTATCTATATAGAGTTGATATTGAAACCATTACTTTATATTTTTACTTAATTTTTTATTAAAAATGTTGACAGTATTAATTTAGTTTTTTTTTAACTAAATATAAGAAGACAATTGATGGTGCCATGATACCTCATAGCCGGTAAACAGTCAGTTTGGTACTGACTGTCTGAGAGGATTGCATGTTTCCCTGGACTTTTCCATGATTAACAAAAGTTCTCCAAGTGATAACATTAATAACCTTCAAACAGGCTCTGCCCTTAATGAACTTGAGTACATCATGTTTTTTGTTTGTTGGTTTGGTTGGTTTTGGTTTTCATTATTGGTTTTTGTTTGCTTTGTTTTTTTGTCAAAACTTTCAAATCAGTAATATTATTTTTAATAATGGTTATTATTATATTATTTATTGGAAATAGTGCAGGCAAGGCATTTCATTTTTTAAAGCCTTAAGTGGAAGAAAAGTGATGGCACTTTTTTGTGGTCAGATGCCACAAATATTCATAACTGGTCAAAATAAATAGAATAAGTAACTGTGAGATGTCCAGGGGTACATCTGCAATGTTATCCCTACACAAACTCAAGGAATATCATGAAAGAAAACAAAATGTAATGTCCAGTGGATCAGAACACCTGCAGCTAGATAGTGTCCTCTAGACATTTCAGGAATGTTGCATCCAAGATGTCTCAACAATATGATGACCTAAACAATATACCCCTCATAATGAAAAACTCACTTGAGTTGTCAAGATGAAAAGGGCAAAATTCACAAGTCTTTACTCATAGATGAATAGCCCTAGGAAATCAATGGTTGCTGACAGGAGAATAAGTTTTCTCCAGGGATAAGGTCACCGCTAATTTGTTATATGATCCCAAGTAGTCATCCCTAAACACATATGTATTCAAGAAACTAACTGGACTTAGGAGGTTGTATGCACAGGTAAAAATAATTATAGACGTGGTCATGTATTGAAGCATAATTTGGGGAGTTGAGAGAGAATGGTGGAAACTATGTAAATATGGTACTTATATATGAAAGTGTCAAAAAATTGAAGTTTAAGTTAGAAATGTATCTTATTAATTACCTTACTGGAGAGATGTAATTCAGAGTTCACAGGATTTAAAGCAACAGCAAAGAGTTGGCTCCGGAGGTTGATCTACCTGCTGATCTCAAACACAGGGTTACTGAGCTCTAATGCTGTACCCTCAGTTAATGAAATTAGCTTCCAGCCACTCAGGCAGAGGTTATTCAGCTCACTGCCTGATCTGAGCTTCCTGCTGACTGAATTTTCAATATCTCATCAACATCTAACCTTTCTGTGCTTTGTAACTGAGTTTCAAGACTATACCTCACTCTGGTGTTGTAGTTGAATCAAGTTCCCTGACTTGTGTTTGCTCCCTGTTCTAAAGGTCTCAAGATAGTTTTGATTTACACATTATATTCCCTCTCAGGCTAATACCAGGTCACTTCTCTTCAAGTCATACAGAGGAATAAAATGATATTCTTCTCTGTAATTGACTTGCCCACCAGATGAATCATCATTTCATTAAAGTTGAATCTCCTGTACTCAAAGCTTATGAAGTTCCCGGACTTGTCTTGATGGTGAGACTGCTGTCTCCTTTCACCTGGGTAACCTGGATAATTTTTAGGATGGAGTTTATGCTGCTGTTCTTTTGCCTAGGGAGCTGCATTGATGAGTAGTGTTTTATCTGACTTCTTTCTGGTATATTGCCTCTCATGTTCCCAGGAGCATGGATTTCTAAAGAAAAGCTTTCATATCTTTCTCATTCAAACATAGCATATTTTTAATACTGACTCTTATTTGGGTCATGACAAGTGGCTTCAAGAATACGCTCTTACCTAAACATCCATACATATTTTACAAAAAGAAATAAACATAGTTTTTATT